CTCAGGCTGGTTTCGAACTCCTGAGCTCAAACAATCCACCTGCCTCGGCCTCCCAGAGAGCTAGGATTACAGGCGTGAGCCACCACGCCCGGCCTGAAGTACTCTTTAGAAATTCAGAATACCTTAACAGAATTGTCCTAATTATTTATAAAACTAAACAATTGTTGAAAACTAGTATATAAATACATTATTTTAAAAAACCAAAAAAGAATGCCAAAATTTTAAAGTGTATTCTTATTCAGAATTTCTGGAGACTATATACTCTTGAATTTTGATAATGTAATGTTGATTAATATTTCCATGCTTTAAAATAGTACATATGTAAAATTAATTTCTCATCTGATTATAGCTATATATTTGAGTGTACAGTAGATCCAACTGATGTTACACACCTTTCACAGGTTTTCTTTAGATGAGAACGACCATTTATTTAGAGTGCTATATAATTTCAAATTCTGACTAACTAAGAATTTTTTAAAATTTTAATTAATTTATATATTTTAGAGATGGAGTCTTACTACATTGCCCAGACTGAACTTGAACTCCTGGGCTCAAGTGATAAGCCATTGCACCTGGCTAATTTTTTTTTTTTTAAATAGTCATTACTATTGACAAAATATAGTCAGAGAATTGGGTTAATGTGTTTAATTTTTTAATTTAAACTTACTGTATACATGCCTTGAATAATTTAAAAGGAAGAAAATGGCTTGTCATTTAATAAAGTAAATGTGTTCATATGTAGATACTATTTTAATAGCTTCTAAGAAAATATATTGTCTGTTCATAATGTTATAGTTAGTGAAAGGAGTATTTTTCACAGTCTGTTACTATTTTTTTCCCAATTACAGGAAATTGGATCGACTTGAGAAGAAAAAAAAGAAAAGGAAGAAAGATAGAAAGAAGAAAAAGTTTCAGAAGAGTAGAAGTAAACACAAGAAACATAAAAGCAAATCATCCTCCTCCTCTTCCTCCTCATCCTCCTCATCCTCCACTTCCTCCTCTTCCTCATCTGAGACTTCAGAAAGCAGCAGTGAGAGTGAGAGTGACAAGAAGTCAAAAAAAATGGAAAAGAAGAAAAGAAAGAAAAACAAATGTTCAGGGCATAACAACAATGATTCTGAAGAGAAGGATAAGTCTAAGAAGAGAAAACTTGATGAAGAACTTTCTAGCAGTCACAGTAACAAGGAAAAGCCTAGGTTTTTAAAACAAGAAAGTTCTTGGGAGAACAGCAAATGGAGCCATTCTGATTCTGACAAAAAGTCCAGAAGCCGTAATCATAGCCCAGAGAAGAGAGGATCTGAAAGCAATGAGGGAAGCAGTAGAAGCCGCAACAGGGATGAGCGGAGTAGGAGAAGCCGGAGCCAAAGTCCTGCTAGTTATAAGAAAAGGGAGAAAAGAAAACGGCCACAGCGAAGTCCCAGTGAAGAGCGGAACAGAAGAAAGGACACCAGAAGCCGTGGCACAGATACATACAGAGGGGAAAAAATGCACAGAGAGCACTCAGGAGATAAGTATGCTAAAGTGACACAAAGAGAACAAAGCAGAAGTAGAGAGAGAATAAAGAGAGACTGTATGTGACAATTACATGGGAATAAAAATATCTCCACTTCTTATTGAATACTTTTTTTTTTAGCAAGGGCTAAATTATGTACTATTGTCTTTCTAATAAAAAAGCTCTATTTTAATTTTTCATCTCTATACACTGTCATTTTAAGTAGAAAAGTACGTGAGTAACGTAAGAATGAATTTTGCAAATATTTGTAAGTAATCTATTTTGGGGCTATAGAAATATTTTCTGTTGGTAACTGTTTCTTGTGCCCTATACCAGATAAAAACTGCATATAACTCTGTGACATTTTCTTTGTTCTGAAACATTAAAAGAATGACAGTACATTGAATGGGTATAATTTTTCTTTTTTTTCCAATTCAAATTTGTTATTTTAAGATTTGAATTTGCTTGAAGCAAAGTCTAATAATCATTGTTGAAATTCACTAGTATGAATTAAACAATAGATTGATTAATACCTCTTTAAGACTTTTAAACTCCCTTTAGGTGTTTCGTTCTACAGAGTAAGCTATTTACATTTGGATGAGGTATTAGTTTTCTGTGCTGCATACAAATTACCTTGAACCTAAAACAACCTACATGTATCATTTTAACCGTTCTAGAGATCAGAATCTGACACGAGTTTCACTGGGATAGAATCAAGGTGTCAGCAGGACTGTGTTCCTTCTGGAGGCTCTCGGGGAGAGTATGTTTGCTCACCTATTGCAGCGTCTAGACGCCACCTGCTTTCCTTTTCTCCTGGCCCCCTTCCTCCATTTTCAAAGCTAACAAAGGGCAGTCAAGTCCTCCTCGCATCTAATCACTCTGACACTTCGACATTCTGCATCTCTCTTCCAATTTTAAGGCCTCTTGTGATTACATTGTGCCCACCTGAAGAATCCTGCAGTAATCTCCCTATTTTAAGATCAACTGATTAGCAACCTTGATTCGATCTGCAACCTTAATTCCCCTTTTCCATGTAATGTAACATATTCACAGGTTCCAGAGGTTAGGACATTTATTTGTACATCTTTGAGGGACCATTATTCTGCCTACCACAAATGGCCTCTCTACTACTACTACTGGAATACAGCTATTAAAGATTTTACTTCAAAAGGTTAAACATTTGTATAATGTCACAATTGAAACAATGCAAACCATTTTGGTATGTTTCATGAGTATAAGGCATATTTAAATTGTGCTGCAAATTTTCCCATGTGTTTCAAAGGATGTGGTAAAGAAAAACTATAGAAAAAATTAGTACAAATTACAGGTAACACGAAATTCCAAAAAACATACTTCACATCGTGGACACATATTTGTGTTATCAGGGTCCAATATTGTTAAAACATCTCTTATTTAATAACAAACGAAATACTAGATGATTTTGATAGTTGGCAGTCACAATTTCACAAATTCTGTGAGAAAGTAAAGAGTTAAGTAAAACCACTCCACATAGTCTGATATATATGTCTTTGCCTTGTCTATGTACACACATAACAAATGTCCTCTGATTTAAGAGAAGCTGAATAAAGGTGTAAGCAACACTTTGATTATTTAGCTTTTAAGAGAGTTGGAGGAGGGAGGAACTTGAATTCCTTCTACAGTATTCTTTAATAACTTACAGTGTACCTCAAATATTCCTTTCCTTCTCTTAAAAAAAAAAGCTTTCATGCATTTGAAATTGATAAAGACTGCTAATTTACACCTTGAGTTCATCAGTGTTGCAGTGATTATTTTCTCCCTTACACCTTTTTAGACTTTATAATTTTTATCATGTCAAAACCAATGCAATACTTACTGCCTTAAAGAGTTTCTGAAGCAACATAGTGTTCATGAAGAAAAATGTTGAAATGCATCCTGTAATTCAAAATGAATTAAATATGTTTTCATTTCCTACACTTTTTTCATTTTACTTTCACAAAAGTGTGGTCCACTTTTAACTTTATAAAGTGGCCATAAGACGTTTTTTAGGTCTCTGATTTCATTATCTTTCATTGTTAAGATTGAGGAATTATAAAGTACTATCAAAATCCCTAATATTCTTGCCCATCTAATTCTGAGAAAAATTTTCATGTAGTTGTAGAAGATGTTGATTTGCTGTTTTGCTTTCAGCCTTGGTCACCCAAGGGTGCTTGACAGCCCTAATGAGGAGCATTCTAACTTGTGAACTTAGAAGGGAAGCTTTTCACGTACAACCATAACATGGTAACAAACAGCTTTAAATGTTATGAGGTAACATTTTAACTGATTTGGGATAAAATAATTGAAAGTGTTTTTTTAAAGAAAAATATTAGCATCTAATTCTACTTTTGCTTTTGAAATGTAAGGTAGAAACCAGAGATAAACCTCATAATAAAAAGGATGTCTAATATGTGTAGAGATTCCTCTATGTACCGAAAGCCAAAGAAGAATCCTCCAAGTTTAATGAATCTATGATTTAAGAACCCAAACAGCTAGCACTCTAGGAGGCCGAGGCGGGAAGATCATTTGAGCTCGGGAGTTCGAGACCAGCCTGAGCAAGAGCAAGACCCAGTCTCTACTAAAAAAAAAATGGAAAGAAATTAGCTGGACAACAAAAAATATATATAGAAAAAATTAGTCGGGCACGGTGGGGCCTTCCTGTAGTCCCAGCTACTTGGGAGGCTGAGGCAGAAGGATCGCTTGAGCCCAGGGGTTTGAGGTTGCTGTGAGCTAGGCTGGGGGAAAAAAAAAGAAAAGTCCTGAACAGTGACTTTTTTTTTTTTTTTAAGAAAACCAATCTGCTGAAATTTGTCATTCTTCTTACCCTTAATAGAGAAGTTATTTTAAAGAAATCTTGGTATACTTAGGCATTTCTTATTTGTCTATGGCCCTGGAACTGCAGAGAGAGGCATGGGACACTGTTGGGGCATTCCACCCTCCTCCCTCCTCCCACACACACTTCCTTTATCCTGACATTTAACATAACACTAGCGAATTAATTCCTGTAGGAGGTGCTGTCGATTTACAAATGGCCAGAAAAGATCAACTTGCTGTGTTAGGACTTGTTTATCTGAATGTCTATGTGGTAAATTAGTCATAATTTCTTTTAATAAATGCCAAAATAGGCAGAGGTTGCTGCAGCATAGTGGCAGGTCTGCTTACCTTGCAATATGAAATGGAGATCTTGTTTTACTCACAGGGCTGTAATCTGAAGGAAGCTTTTTATCTGAAAGGCTTGAAGAGTCCTTTCTTGTTGTTCCCTGAGACTGCTTGCTGATAGTGAATCAGATCAGTCCACACTGCTGGGAGCAGGCGTTTCCCAGTTTTAATCACTGAACATTTAGTATGTTTTAGCACTGAAGCTCAAAGAGTTCAAAATCCACCTGAGCCACCGCACTCTCCTCCTTACCTAATGACCACTGGGCCAAGACGCTGGTGGACGCCTGTAAGGCCGCAGCCTCCACAGCCTGTGCTTAAGACCAGGAAGAAAGCTGCATTTTTAGCTTCATAGCTCAAAGGGTATTTAAAAATCTTATTTAGGTTTTCTGAAAAAGAAAACCTTTGCTATAGTCACCACTTCTTGAACAGAGATAAAGAAAGGCAGGCAACAGCTGTAGGCCTTGGGAGAGTTTTCAGATCAAAAAGGAGAAATGGTTTTAAAAAGTTGTGAGGAACAAATAAGACGGGGGAACTGCAAGGTTTGGGAAACACCGAGAGCTTTCCCAACTGCGGCTTCTAAAACCCAAAACCCAAAACCCGGTTCCTGCTGACAGAAAAGGAAGCAGGTAACTCCTCGCCGCCTTCCCTCTTTCTTATCCCTTCACGCCACACTTAACATCAGCCTGAGAATGCCCAGAATGTAGCAGTAATAACCAGGCTAAGGTGCGGCATGAAACGCCAAGCGCTGCTTGGAATGGAAAGAAACGCACACTCTGGCCCCAGCTGCCCGTGAGCCGCCTTTCCCCACTCGGGGACGTAGAAAACCCTAGCGCCTTCGGCTCAAGGCGTTGGGCAGGAGTGGAGGTCTGGGGGCTCCGGTGCTGACCAGAGCGGGGCTTCCAAGGACATGGCCCTAAACGGAAGCTGGAAGGGGGCTGGAGTGGAGTGACAGGGTGAGTCCAAGGCTGGGGTTGCTCTTTCCCATCCCCAGAGGCGACACCACCCTGCGTACTCTGGTGCCTTCCTTCTGGATGCGCGTCTGGCAACCTTTCGAACACACCCCAAACTCAAACGGAGTGATTGAGAATTAGGGAGCGCATGCCCTCCCTAGAAGATGCGCCTCCCGCGCGAGGAGGCCGCTGGCCGCCCCACCCACGAGGGGTAACCGGCGAGGGTCCGGGTTAGCTCTTCGCGCAGCTCCCCGCGCCGCGCCGGCCCAGACCCACCCAGAAGACTTTCCCAGGCCTTTCCTCGCGCGGCCGCCGAGGACCCTCGCCCTCCGGTTCCCGCCTAAGCTCGCCGGGCCTCCGGCGCGTTTCCCCTGCGCGGGTCCGAGGACGGACTCGCCTTCAGCGCTTAGGAAAGCGAGAGAATTTCTCTGGTCGCTTGGGCTCCACAGGTGAAGAGGGCGCTTTGTAAAGCCGGTGCCAATCTCTCGCTCCAGGGGCAAAAAATGAAAATGTCAGCTCTCGCCAGCAATCTGCGCAGAAAATGGACTGAGGGAGACACCCTATCATTCTGCATTTATTTTATAAATGAATAACCCAGAAATAGTTAGATGCTTGCAAAACAATGCAAAATCACCAGCATGGATTTCCAAAGGAAGGGAGTGCAAGGGTTTTGGAAAACCTAAAACTCTGAGGTGCTATGCTTTCCCGGGTCCCTGAGAACCGGCCCTGAAGGGATGTGTCCCCATGGACATTCTGAAACCTCCTCCTTAACTGGAGTTGCAAACACACTGTATATATTTATATCAATACTATATGGGGGAGGCATGTCTGTATGTATTTACCTCATACATATTTCTATAAACTCCAGCGTCTGGAAAGAGTGGGGGGTAAATAACACTGAACGGTTAAAATTATGGAGAAGGGATAATAACTGATTACTAATTTGAAAGTAAATAAACAGGTGACTTTTTCAGATCAAATTCCTCCTTGTATCGTTAC